TCCCAAGTCCAAATAGTTTCTGAACAGTTCAGGCGTGGTCAAGCCACACAGCTTTTTGTTTTGCTCCTCTGCTGGGCTATTGAACATGTTCTCATTTTCTCCCCACTTTACAGGTTTGTATTAGTGAAGTAGCCTATGTGTTGGCTTCTGTATATTTCTACAACCACCTAAAAAGACCTAATGAAGGCCTATTCTGATCTATTTTAATGAATCAAGTGTGGGTTGAAGCCACAGTGTTTTAAATTTTTTGCACATCACAACTGTTCTCTTTTCTTAAACGCAAACATTTTTGGAGCACTTACACTGTCACTACTACCCAAAGCAGGTTTTATTATTTCTTATTTCCCATTGATCCAAAAATAAGACTACCACCACATTTATGATATAATGCTTGGATGTTTACTTGCAATCAGTCAAATTTGTATTAATATATGGGAATTTTTCCTTTCATGGAAACAGTAAGTGTCTTTTTTGGCATTTGACTGTTATGAAAATAATCGTTCTGTGTGGGTGCCAGCTGCTCATATCCTGGATAAGTTCCATAACTCCACATCAAAATAACATGTCTGTGTGTGTTCAAAGACCCCAGCTGCTCTAGCTGTAATGCCTCGATAAAAACAAACCCGCACATTTTCAATACTTAATGTGGAAACTCCTTTTTCACACTTTGATGATCAGCATATCCAGGTCAATCACCAGGTGATCGGTAAGGAGCGTACCCAGGCGTCTCACCTGCCGTCCTCTTATTGGTGGATGTGTCGCCCTTTGTGTGCCTATGCTGACCAATCAAAATAAACAAAAAACAAAAAAAAAAACGGGAACAACTTTCGTTTTAATTAAAAAACCCGAAGGCGAGTAACGAAGGTCTTTTGTGGGTCATTTTTGCTGTTTTAAAACGTACCATAATTCTTAGCGATACGAATTTATAGATTTGTTTTTAATATACTAAAAGCTTTCAAACAGCCAGGCGGTGTAGGCGCTCCCTTTGTTTGTTTGGCTGCACGGGAGCGCGCGTGCGTGCCCACGCCCTTCACAGGTGCGTGCAATGACCTCATCCGTCAGGAGCACAGGACGACTGCAGGTAAAGTGGATCTCTCACCTATACCGACCTGAATATATAGACTTTCACATTTATAGTTTGTTGTTTTTGTTACCGTAGTAAATACCAGAGGAAAGCAGGTAAAAGCTACTTAAATTCAGTTAACAAAGTTTAATAGAGACGGTAGTTCTGTGTGGAGCAGCGGTTCACCTTGACGGAACTCTCTTTTTAAAGCTAAAACATTTCTGAAAACATACATTTTGCTTTTTTTTTTTTTTTACTTATAGGAAATGTTCAATATGAGCAATTCAATGAAGAAAGCGGAAGACATGGATGATTTTTTTAAAACGGTAAGTTACAAATATAAAGGGGAAACCAAAACATGGAAGCAGAAGCTGCAAAAATGTATTTAAATTAAAAACAGACTTCCCTCTGCACATTAGTCTTAATACGAGAGTTATTTTACAGAAATGACCTCTTTTGCCTTTTTTTCCCCTCTCTATTTTCATTTTTCAGTTTACATATGCAGGAAAACTGCATGGATGTCAGGAAAATGTCACAAGAAATCATACATTTGTGAATGGGAAAGCCAAAAAGCTGTAGGAATACAAATTTTTTTAATCTTACCTGGCTGTGTGAAAAGCAGTTATCTGCCACACTCTTAAAATACAACTAATAAGATTTATTCAGTTTTATGAGATACTATAGAGATAACAAAACAGCTAAATAGTTTAGAGCTATGTCTAACGATTATTTAGCTAATCGATTAATCTGTTGATTGTTAACTGCATTATTAAATGCAAAAATGTTTATATATATATATATATATATATATATATATATAATTATTTGGTATAGTTACTGCTCTAAGTGGGTTGCTCTGTCAACTAAAACCATTTTTTAAAGTCTATACTCCAGTTACTATTAATCTATGGTTAAATTAGTTGACGATTATTTCAATAATCAAATAATCGGATTAATTATTTCAGCCCTAAAGTAGTTATTGCTGCACTTGGTTGCATGAGGTAACGGCCAATTGTGTGTTTCACCAACATCTTAAAGACAGCGTTATTTTGTTTTTGTATAAAAAAACTAAAAAACAACCTGATATATATTTAAAAAGCTGTATAAAAAAATTATAAAGACAAACATCACCCTTGTTTTAAGGGTGCTAATATGTGCTTTTTTTTGAATATGCTGTAAATGCAATTAAATATGCAATTAAACTTGGTAATTGAATTGGTTAAATTGCGTTATTGAAATGGTTTAAGTTAAAAATAACAGTTTTAATAATTACACATAAAGCACAAAAAACGCCTTGAAAAAATGTTTTGACTCATAAAGATAGAAGTTGTTCTGAAAAATAAAACAAATGAAATCAGACTGAACAACTTTCCACTGGAGTAGCAGATAATATCACTGTTCAAGATTACTAAAAACAGTTACAGGGAGATGAGATTTAAAACTTCAAAAGGAATAGAAAGAAATCTAAATATTATTTGTATTTATGAACATTTTTCCACTATTGAACAAAGGGATTACTTGAACTGAGTGATACCTTTGCATAAACTGTAATATATTCAATCTTTTAAAAGGTGCCCTTTTGCCAAAATGTTTATTGATGCTAAAAGATCTGTTCAATTGTAATTACACTTGATAAAACACGTAAGGCAGGTTTATTTATATAACACTATTCGTGTAAACACAGATAAGCCTGTCAGACACATAGTTTTGCAAGTTGTATGTTTCAGTGATGACATTTTAAGTAGCCTAATGCTATTGTTTGTTTGTTTGTGGGTGTGCGTGTGTGTAGGTGGATGAAGTAAGAAGCCTCATAGAAAAAATCTCCAGCCAAGCAGAGGAAATGGAAAGAAGACACAGCTGCATCCTCTCATCTTCAAACAGCAGCAAGAGTAAGACTTTTGGGAAAATCAAGTAAAACTTCTGAATTGTGTCACAAGTCTTTCTTGATAACTTTACTATTACTTTTAGAAATCTATTAAGATCTTAGACATCCCCAAAGAGCCAACTAGAGCATGAGAAACGATAGAAGCTTAACAACCTTTGACAAACAGAGCTCTGTTTGTTTAGAGAAGGGGCACAGAGTGAGGTCCACAGAAACAGACATAATAGTTCTTGTAGCTGGAAAAGGTAATACAGCCATTCTTCCAGTTTCTTAGATCTATGCAACCAGTGCTTTTAGATGTTTAACCTTTCATTGCTATATTTTAGCTGAATGGACTGTTCCTTTATGTTGTCTATAAAATTACTGATAACTATAGCGCTGTCATACAGAGAAAAGTGAATGAAGCTTATTTCTTTAGTTTAGACACAACATGCAGAGACAGAAATGTGCAAATCCCTAAAGCAAATTTGTTTGATGTTTGTTTTAGGAGGTAAAGATGAGCTGGAGCTGCTGAACAAGGAGACCAGAGAGAACGCCAACTTGGTCCGATCCAAGTTAAAACGTGGGTGTTACAAACTGGCTTTTCTGCTGTAACCCTTGGACCCTTTGTGCTCCTTGTTGATATTCCCTGAGGTTGATTGTTTTTGACAGATGCAGTTTAGGCACACATTAGATCTGCCTAAATACAGGGTTTAAAGTCAGGAGGGTGTAATTTGACTGGCAAATGAATAGAACAGGAAAGGGTGTATTGCATTCTACTACATCATTGTTCCTAAAAAAGCTCTTGATTGTTTTGCACCATAAAATGATAAAACAGAATTCTAAAGCAGACACAATTTGTGTCATGGGCGTAGGTTTGCATAGGGACCATAGGGACATGTCCCTACCAAAATTTTGGAAGGACCTATTTGTCCCTACCAATA